CGCCCTCTTTTCCCAAAAGAGGGTCGCTCATGATAAGGCACAATAGAGCTTAATCAGCCGGTTGCCTGTCCCTAAAGGCGGTTTTTAGGGGGTATCACTTAGGGTCCCCGGTAGGACAGTGAGTCCCCCATAACCACGATAGACCGGCTATCGTGGTATGCGTAATGCATTTTCCGCCTCCCTACGTACAGGGTAGCCCTTTAATTGCTTCGGGCGCAAAAAAAAAAAAAAATGTAGGAGACAAATAAATTTAGTATGCAGCTTTATTTTGTTGATTCAAAAATATATTTTATTTTTTATGTTTAAGGCTCTTGAATATTCTGGTTATTTATACATTATTCTAAACATGATTATCAATGTTTTATTAATTAATAATATTATCATACTTTTTGTTAGCGTATGGTATTCACAATCAAACATGGGACCTTACCCATGTATGTATGTATTATTATTATTATTTATTTTAATATATTGTTACGAGCTTAGGGTTTGTGACTTAGTTCCTCTATTCGATACTAGATGGCGCTAGTGGGAGTTTTTAGAAATATCTTGGCGCTTCTATTTCTTCTGCTTGATATCAGATGGCGCTAATAATCAACGTCTACGCGCCGCTACTCGAAGTGACAGTGGTGTGAGCGATGCTAAATTAACTTACGGTTATTCAATCACATTACCGGGTGATTTCTTCGAAGACGCGAAACTTTGCGATACGAATTCGGAATATTTGCAAAAGTTACAGGATAATAATGTACGTAATTTGAATCCGAGACCACCGTGTCACCGTACCTCACGTTCGTTATTTATTTCTAGTAGTTTAGATAACTGTAAATATGTATTTGTTCGGAATGATTTGATGTGAAAATCTCTTCAACCCCCTTATGATGGACCCTATAGCGTCATAAGCAGGATAGGGAAAACTTTTGTGATAAAAATAGGAGAAAAAGAAAGTACTATTTCTATGGATAGGTAAAACCTGCGCACATTCTGAGTGAAAACGATTTGAACAATAACATTATTTTTAGTGATGACAGGTGTAACGATAGTATTGTTAACGTGTATTGTTAGCACAAATAACGCGAAGTGGCCGCGTTATCAAGACCCCGGTACGTATTTCTACGTAGTACTATTATTTATTCTGTGGTATTGATTTGTAATCTATTTTAAGTTGAACGCACAAACTAATAAGAGTACTAACGTACTAGAACGGCTCATCCATGGAGTATAGAGGTAAGGAGGACAATCTCCCATAGGAGAATAGTTGAAAATATGTCCATCTATAAGCTATAAGTAAGCAGTAAATAACAGTTCAAAAACTCTCCACTACTGCGCTCGAGTAGCTACAGGGTATGTAGGTAAGTCGCCGTAAAATAAGTTGAGAGTGATTTTGAAAATAAAAATTTTGAAAGCAATAAAATAATTATTTTAAAAAGAATTATGGTGAGTCTGTGCAATAAAAAAATTATAAAAAGTTCTTGTATTTTAGCATTTTAATTGTAATTTCGATGTTAATCTTGTAAACATATAGACAATGTTTCGTACCTAAATTCGTTCAAATTGCTTCATTGTAGCCAGACGTATCTATCTATATCTAGTAATTGATCGAAGATGGGCTGGAGTCAGAGCATGTAGGAAAATACGAGCAAAAGCTTAGTATCTCAGACTGTCAACAATCATTCAGATTATAAGCTAGACTATATCAGCTAGACCTTGACCGCACTGGTGATAGTGTTCCTCTTGGTAATGGGGTACCTACTATGGCGCCGCTGCAAACATGTATCGAGAGGCTGGGTAATGAAGCAGAGCGTAAGCAATCCAACCATGGTGAGGGTGCAGGCGGTTCCCAACCAAGCCGTAGGTGCCTACGCCTACCGGTTTCGCGTAGCGAGTGCGAGTGTTAACCTAGTGTAAATTTAAGTGTTTTATCTTTGTATAAGGAGAGGAATGGTGTAGGGAAATACGAGGGCGGCTCTGAAAATTTCGGGAATCAAGGAAGTGACACAACATTACTATTTAAAAATGTATTTATTGCTTTTCGAAGTATTCTCCGCGAAATTTGACACATTTTTCCATACGATGGAACCAATCATTGAAGCAACCATTCCATTCGGAAGTTGGGGTCTCCGAAATAGCCGTTTTGTAGGCGTCCACAGCTTCTTCAGGTGATGAGAATCTCTAAAAGTCCACGCAATTTATTCTTTATTTTAGGGAAAGTATAGATACATAATTATTATTTTATATATAAAAAATTTTGTAATAAAAACACTCTGGAAAAATTGGCATGCACCCCTCGTATGACCAACGGTGGAAAATTTCCGGAAAACTCTGTAAAAATTGAACTCCGATTTTCCGTGATTCCAAACTGCATGCCATGGTCATACGAGGGGTGCATGCCAATTTTTCCAGTGTTTTTACTACAAAAACTTCCATTCTTTACATCGGCATGCAATTTGAGAACACGGAATTGCCCTTTAAATTTTTTCAGGTTTTCAGAACCTTTTGATCATCTTGGGCCGCTGCGGGGTGCATGCTATCAATTATTAGAGCTTCAATTTGCTTGAACTTCCGTATTTTACAAGGGCATGCAGTATACTATCACGGAAAAACACGAAAATTCGCTACGCAAAGAAAAGCGCTTTTCCTTATGAAGAGGACGCGCGGGGGGCTAAAGCCACGACAATCTTTGATATTTTAGGGTTAGTTATCAAGCCTTAAAAAGGCATGCACGACAAAATCGTGGAACGTCACCTGTCACCAGCTCCCGGTCTATGTGTAATATAGGTCACGGCCGGCATAACATACCTAGTTCTTTAGATTGCTTGTCCGGTGTCCTATGCCATGCCCATACTTATTTAATTATAACAACTACATGTATACGTAATATGTATAATAGTTATATGTCTGGCGGCTGCGCCCGTCACGATCAAATGACAGTCGCAAATCATATATATCTCCGTTTACACGTCACATTTCTTAATTTATTCCAATATAGACTTTTGTGGACTTATAATACTAAATTATTAGATACAGGATTCTAAGACTGTACAGAGAGCAATGTTTTGAATCAGGATACTTCCGTTCAATCAAAGCAAGACAGGGAAAACTAGGATGTATTTTCTTTGCACAGCTGCGGCGCACACAGAATGATGATGAGCTCCTTTACATACCCGGCATTAAGGTTAAGGCATTGAGCGGGAAGAAGGGATAGGCACAGTGCCACAGTTGAACACATATAGGCGCATTTTACCATGTACCGAGTACAACCCAACAATGCGTAAATGTTAACACTGCAGAGGGGCAAAGCCCCAGAGCAGTTTCCTGTCTCCGGACAGCCGTTAGAAAGGACAGAGAGGTTGAGAATTAATATTTTCAGAAACGTGAGAGTAAAACTCTAATCCGGAAAGCGACTATGAGCAATCGACCTGTGACATCTGCTATTATTAAGGACCTCACTGAAGAAGCCTAGCGAATTTAATCGACATAATTGTACACTAGCCGTGTGTGACAGAATACATCAATTTCTCATCTTAATCAGCATATTTACTTACCCCGAACGAAACAACACAATAAGAAATCTACATGGATAATTACTGAATCCAGGTATATTAGTGTTCCTACTGCCCACACCCAAAACAACTTACTACTATCCAAAGTGCTTTTAACACATACTTAACATACACTGATTTAGTTGTCCAGAAAAGTAATTTATTATCTTCTTACCCCGTTTAAAGTAAAAAAATAGTTTAGAATTTCAGTGAAATAAATAATAATGTGTAATAACATGTTACAATACAAACAGTAGTAACAACCGGGGTTCATCAAGGGTCCCATCTTGGCCCTCTTTTGTTTATTATATTTATTAATGACTTGGTAGACCATATCACAAGTGAATGTTCACTATATGCAGACGATATGAAAGTTTTCCGTATAATCGATGATGTTAATGACTGCCTCTTGTTGCAACGGGACCTTAACAATATTCATACCTGGTGTTGTCATAATAAAATGCATTTGAATGTAACTAAATGTTTTTTATAACTTTCACAACTCGTCTAAAGTATACATACCATATCAATGATCAACCTTTGTCTGAAAGTAATGTTGCCAAAGATTTGGGCGTTATCTTTGACTCAAAACTAGATTTTAAGCAACATTTTAATCACTTAACGCAAAGTGGTTATCAGTTAGTTGGTTTTGTTACACGAGTTATGAAGGAATTCAAGAGACCCCTTAGTCTAATATATCTTTTTAACACTCTTGTGAGACCGATCCTTGAATACGCCTCAGTAGTCTGGTCACCTTATTACGAAGTACATTTAGCTAATATTGAACGAGTCCAGAAATGTTTTCTGCGGAGCTTATGTCGTAAACATGGATTGATCCGCCAGTTGCTATCGTATAATGAAAGAGTGAATTACTTTTGGAGTTACGAAACTAGATGAACGTAGACAATATTTTGAGCTTATGTACCTTCACAAAATCATTCACTCCTCCATCGATTGCCCAGAATTGCTTAATTTAATTAATTTTAACAGTCGATCCCGTCTGCGTAACCCGCGTATCTTTCGCCTTGATGTTTACGGAAACAACACGTCTTTCTTTAATCCGGTCATTCGAATGTGTCGAAATTTTGACGAGCTGAGACATCGTAACGCTGATCTGGACATTTTCAATTCTAATATTTCACAATTTAGAAGATCTGTAATTGCTACGTTAAATATGTAAAATGACGAATATCATAAGTTCTTTTTTTTAACTGTCACTAGTACTATGTATTATTAATTTATGTTTCGGTCATACTTGTCATATTTTGTTTTGCTGTGCACACTTTATTGGATTATAGACTAGTTATAATATTTTTGTTACTGTAAATGTGTTTTGTATTGTCTTAAATCTGTTTGTGTGCCTTATTAATAAAAATATAATAAAATAAAGTAGGTCTACTAACACAATTTTATTTTAAATGATTCTACATATTAAATCTAAAATACGGTATTATTTATTCACACTTTAGGGTAATATGTATTTTCAAATTTCTTTCTGCATCTTGGATATGGTCGCAAGACTTTGGGAATATAAGGCGGCAAATGTTCATCCAAACGTCTCTTATATGGGTTGATATCTCGTTCAAAGAACCGTCGCTTAGCTTCAAAGAATCTGGTATTGTGTTTAATTTTGTAAATTCTCTCCCATAGATATATTTCAGGCATTAAATAATGTTTGGGTCTGTTTGAAACTAAATGCTTGTATCTGGATTCTAACCAACAACGTTTTTCATCATCTTCTATGTCAGCTATGATCTGTTCTTCTTTACCCAAGTATGGTTTCAGTTCATGATCTCTTTCTGCTGGAGCATTTAAATAGAGTTGAACTAGCATCTTCAAAACTTCTTCATTAAGTCCTTTTACCTGGTCATTCTCAATAGTATCATACAATTGAAGAGGCATGGTACCAAAGCATATGTTATGTTTCGGATTTTCATCCATTTGCTCATTATGCATTGCAATAGTGTTCATTTGATAAACATAAAATGACCATAACTTTCCATTTGTTATAATAGTTTGCGTTACAAGTGGATATGTAATATCATTGTATGTAGTAAATCCTTGGTAATTTGCTTGCCCCAGTAGCCAACCAAAACTAGCTTTTAAAGCTTGAGAGTGCAATGCCTCTACATTATCCTCCAGACCAAAAGATGGATTTCTCACTGATATATGGCCACGACCATGATAGGATAATAAGCCAAATTCATCATAATCGCCAGTCCAAAATCCTGGAAGAATGGGAATATAAAATTATAGCTATTTTAAAAATAATTTATAGACTCAGATGTTACATTGCGGAAAGAAGACGGGCAAAATTTCATAGAAAGCTGGGCCAGATGTTACAGTAACGATTACTGCATTATATTACTTATATACCAATACCATTTTAAGAAAACTAAAATGTTTACGACTGCTTCATGGTAGAAAAAAAATAGGATGTTATGGGTTTGTATAAAAACAATGTTATTGCTTACGTTATGCTTACAATGTTATTTTTACACCAAGCTCAACATTACACTTAGACTAGACTAGACCATAATTTTATGTATTGTAGGACATTCACACATAAAGGATCCCGACGTCACCGTCCAACTAAATTCTAGAGGTTTGAAATAATTATAAAAAAACAGAGGGAGTACGAAATAAAAACCTTTCTCCTTTAATGATTTATTAATCGTCCACTTCATCATAAACAAATAAAATATCGTCTGAAAATGGTGCATGCGGTATTAAATTCTCTTGATGTCTTGCCCAGCATAGGTACCATATTATGGACATTACATGACAACACCAACCTACAGTTCTTTTTCCTACTAAGCAATTAAAATAATACTGTTTGATGGCCTCTCTACCATTACGAGAACTGTCAACTAAAATATATGTAAAATATGTTTTTGAGCTTAAGTATATGTCTCGATTTTATTCCACCTCTTAATAGCCAGCTAGAATGGTTACATATTGACAGTTCTCTTAGTAGGCTGCTGTTCGTTTCTCGACACACTTCTATTTCATATCTCTCATCTTGTCGTATGTGTTCTCCATAATGGGACCTAGCCTACTTTACTTACTTACTTATCTTCACGCACAATCCCTAACGGGGTAGCCAGAGAGAACAGATCGCCAAGTGTCACGATCCTTACATACCTCTTTCGCTTCTTTCAGGTACATTATCTTCTTCATACATGCGCGTCTACGTATCCGAGTACTCTTGACCTTCCCCTCTTCGAGTAATTTGCTCACACATGGTCTTCGAAAGTTAGTCTCGGTCTACCTCAACACCTTTTAATATTTACTTTCGCGCTATATATTTTCTTCACTATTCGGTCTTCACTCATTCGCTCAACGTGCCCAAACCATCGGAGTACGCCCCTATCAATTTTTGTGATAAGGTCATCTTACAATCCTGCCATATTGCGAATCTCTATGTTTCGCTTTCGGTCGGCTATGGTAACGCCGCACATTTTACGAAGAGATCGCATCTCCACTGCATTCAACTTGCTTTTATGCTTCTTCTGGCATACCCAGGTTTCGCTGACATATAACAAAGTCGGTACCAACACTGCGTTATGTATTGCAAGGCGTGCACTCTTCACTACGCCTTGCCTTTTGACTAACGCATTCAGGGCACCATTGACTTTGTTCCCGGCAGCGACACGCCTGTCCACATCTAAATCACATCTTCCATCCCGGCCGAAAGCACTCCCCAAGTATACAATTTCATTTACCTGTTCTAGACATTCCTGATTTACCCATATTTCACATTTCGTTCTCTCTTCGTCCTTTTCAAATACCAGAACCTTAGTTTTATTAGCATTCAAATGGAGAACTTTAATTTCACATTCCTCTTTCATACTACTACTAATGCCTGCAGTTCTGCTTCTGATGGTGCAATAAGCACTGCATCATCAACATACAACAGACAATTAACTTTAATGTCCCCCAATTTCACACCCAAAAAGCTATTTTTCAGCTTATGTAAACAGCTGTCGAGATACAGTATGAACAGCCAGGAAGACATGACACAACCCTGTTTTACGCCCGCTTGGACGCTAAACATGGGTGACAGGTCATGCACTACCCGCACACAGGCTTTACAGTCATAGTAAAGTGACTGCACAGCCCTTAACAATCGAAAATCCACACCATATTCCGGCAACAGTTCCCACATTTTCTTCCTTATAACCTTATCAAATGCTTTCTCCAGATCCACAAAAGCACAGAAAATCCTCTGGTTAACACTCAGAAGCTTTTCCGTGATCATGCGGAGAGAAAACATTTGATCCGTGCATCCTCTTCCAGGTCTAAATCCGTATTGTGCCTCCCATAAGAATCTTTCCGATTTCTCTTGCATCCTACGTGTCAAAACCTTCGAGTAAACTTTACTTGCTAAACTGATCAAGCTGATGGCCCGATAGCACTCGCAGTCAAAATGTGAACCTTTACCTTTATATAAAGGCACAATGACCGCGGATCGCCAATCATCCGGGACACCTCCCGCCCGCCAGCACAAATTGCACAGCAGATGAAAGTTGTCCCAGACGCGAGGCCCACCGTACTTGACCATTTCAGCAGTAACTCTGGCTAGTCCTGCAGCCTTACTACATTACAAGCTTTGAATCGCACGTTCAATCTTTTTCATGCTGATGACCTCAGTGTCATCGAGGTCCGTGTTAAGCGTGCAAGTCACGGCGTCACCCCTGGATCCTTCACTAAGATCATGACACGCATACATTTCTCTATAAAATTCGCTCCATCGCTGCATGACGTCCGATTTTTCTGAGAGGACGTCATTGGTTTTCGAAAGCACTTTGTTCATTCTTAAGGCTGTCGCACCACTCCGGGACCTTCCAACCTCTTTCCAGAAGAGTTTGGAGTTTTCCTTAAAGTTGTGCGACAACCTTTCGTCCGCTTCTATTCTACACCTTTCACGTACTTTTCAATCAATGTTTTCGCATGAACTTTCTGCAGCTTATATCTTTCTTTCATCTTCTCTCTCATATGCTTATCGTTACTAGAGGCCAAGTAGTCTAACCATGCTTTTTTCTTCTTCTTTACAGCTTCTCTCACTTCATCATTCCACCATGCATCTCTTCTTTTACCTCTTTTTGTCGTTCCACATACTTCTTCCGCTGCACTTACCATTCCATCCCTAAGGTTCTGCCATGTTCTTTCCACACATTCTTTTCTGTCATCGATGGTGTCAAGCTTTTCAGCTACCCTCGTGTGATATTTGTCCTTAGTATCCGCTTCCTGAAGCTTCCAGCTTCGGATGCGACAGACCGACTGTGGTTCTGTTACTGCTGCCGTCCGGTAGCGCCAACCCGCGAACATACCCCTAAATCTAGTAATTACTAGATAGTGATCCGTTCCCAGGTACCCCTGAACACTCGTGTATCCATCACCTGTTTTCGCAGTCGGTCATCCACCAGGAACAAATCAATCATACTTCTCTCATTCTTTTTTTCTCTTGTGTACATATGGATTTTCCTGTGATTAAACATAGTGTTTGTCACAAGAAGACCCTTTTCCTTGCATACAACCAGTATAAGCTTGCCAGCATCATTAACCCTTTTATCGCCAAACTTTCCAAGCACCGACTCGTACCATGGTCGAGCGAAACCTACCCATCCATTCAAATCACCACATACAACAGTTCTTTCGTTTCCCTTAACCAAATCTAGAACTGCTCTTACATTCTCCCAAAACTCCTCCAGCTCAGCCCTGGACGACAAAGCTACCGGCGCATAAACAGCCAAAAGGAATAACTTCGCCAGTCCCAGTTTAAAGCAAACCCAGAGAAGTCTTGAGTTCACAACCTTATATTCAGTCATAAGATCGACCAACCGGGACGACAACAACACCCCCACTCCCTGGCAGGCGTTCTCGCTTTCCGGGACTCCGGACCATATAGCTAACGACTATACTATAGGGAAGCGACAGTAGCCTAGTGGCAGGACGCGGAACCGCGAACTTAATAAGGTTGCGGGTTCGAATCCACCATTCGACTGTCGTGAACCACTCCTAACACAAGCATTTTCAGCTTACCAGGAGTGGTTAAAAGGGAATATTAGTAATGTTAATTAATAGGATTACTAATATTTATTTTTAAAAAAAACGTCTCGCCAGGGAGCTCTTCAGTACCACTGCCTTTCCGTTTGGTCTCTGACATACGCACGACCTAGCCTACTTAATTTGATAAATACCTAAAGATATTTTTACAAAATCACTATTATCCAATGATTTCAAAAAGAAGGATAGGCCCTTCTAAATATTTTACTCATAACTTTTTCATACAAGAAAAAGTAGCGCATCTGTCATAATAGGTACAAACGTCATATCAAAACACGACGTAACCAGGGTCGGATTTCGTTGTATAATTATCCTAATTGTATCATTATTTCATAGTCTGTAGTATATAGTATCGTAATAATTCCATCCTCTGTGGTGCCCATTGGAGGCAAATCTCAGCCATGGTTTGGTCGCTCCTGTAAAATAGCATCATGCTATAAGCAGGAGTGCTACCGAGCCTGGGCTGACGCATCAGCGTCCACGCGTAAACACCAGCGCTCTAAAAAAGAAGTATAATTCCGCTTCTAGGTCCTTCAAAAGAGTCATTGCCAAGGCATAGTCAGAGCACATAGGCAGAATTGGCGAGAGACTAGTTCGTCTTCCTTCTGGAACCCGTGCATTCTGGTCTCTCGCCAAGGCTGTCCAGGGGAATTTCTGTCAGCCATCTCTTCCATCTCTGCACAGGGAGGACGACTCACTAGCCCACACCGCAAAGGAGAAAGCCGATCTTCTAGGCTCTTTCTTTGCGTCTAACTCGACTCTCGATGACGGGGGGAGTACGCCGCCGACCATCCCGCGGTGTGAGTGCTCCATGCCGGAAGTGCAGTTCACTCAGCGCTCGGTTCGCAAAGCACTCCTCTCCCTGGACATCCACAAGTCGAGTGGGCCTGACGGAATCCCCCCAATTGTGCTGAGGACGTGTTGCTCCAGAGTTGGCACCGGTTTTAACGCGTCTTTTCCGGTACTCCTACTCCCTAGGCGTAGTCCCAAAATCATGGAAGACGGCTTTCGTCCACCCGATCCCTAAAAAAGGCGACCGCTCAAACCCGTCCAACTACCGGCCTATCGCCATCACCTCCTTGTTCTCCAAAACAATGGAGTCCATTGTAAACTGCCAGCTCATGAGGTACCTTGAGGATCACCAGCTGATTAGTGACCGCCAATACGGTTTTCGCCGTGGTAGGTCAGCTGGTGATCTTCTGGTTTACCTAACTCACAGATGGGCGGAGGCAGTAGAGTCCAAGGGGGAGGCATTGGCCGTTAGTTTGGACATTGCGAAGGCCTTCGATCGGGTTTGGCACAAAGCGCTTCTTTCGAAGCTCCCTTCCTATGGGCTTCCCGAGAAATTGTGCGATTGGATCACCAGTTTTCTTGCAGATCGGAGCATCAAGGTCGTTGTAGACGGTGCAAGCTCCGATTGCAAGCCTATTAATGCTGGTGTTCCACAGGGCTGCATGCTATCGCCAACGCTGTTTCTTCTGCATATCAATGATATGTTCCAAACCAGTAGCATTCATTGCTATGCAGATGACAGCACTGGTGATGCTCTTTACACCGGCCGCGGACCGCGAACTTAATAAGGTCGCGGGTTCGAATCCACCATTCGACTGTCGTGAACCACTCCTAACACAAGCATTTTCAGCTTACCAGGAGTGGTTAAAAGGGAATATTAGTAATGTTAATTAATAGGATTACTAATATTTATTTAAAAAAAAATGTCTCGCCAGGGAGCTCTTCAGTATCACTGCCTTTCCGTTTGGTCTCTGACATACGCACGACCTAGCCTACTTAATTTGATAAATACCTAAAGATATTTTTACAAAATCACTATTATCCAATGATTTCAAAAAGAAGGATAGGCCCTTCTAAATATTTTACTCATAACTTTTTCATACAAGAAAAAGTAGCGCATCTGTCATAATAGGTACAAACGTCATATCAAAACACGACGTAACCAGGGTCGGATTTCGTTGTATAATTATCCTAATTGTATCATTATTTCATAGTCTGTAGTATATAGTATCGTAATAATTCCTTCCTCTGTGGTGCCCATTGGAGGCAAATCTCAGCCATGGTTTGGTCGCTCCTGTAAAATAGCATCATGCTATAAGCAGGAGTGCTACCGAGCCTGGGCTGACGCATCAGCGTCCAGGGATGTAAACACCAGCGCTCTAAAAAAGAAGTATAATTCCGCTTCTAGGTCCTTCAAAAGAGTCATTGCCAAGGCAAAGTCAGAGCACATAGGCAGAATTGGCGAGAGACTAGTTCGTCTTCCTTCTGGAACCCGTGCATTCTGGTCTCTCGCCACGGCTGTCCAGGGGAATTTCTGTCAGCCATCTCTTCCATCTCTGCACAGGGAGGACGACTCACTGGCCCACACCGCAAAGGAGAAAGCCGATCTTCTAGGCTCTTTCTTTGCGTCTAACTCGACTCTCGATGACGGGGGGAGTACGCCGCCGACCATCCCGCGGTGTGAGTGTTCCATGCCGGAAGTGCAGTTCACTCAGCGCTCGGTTCGCAAAGCACTCCTCTCCCTGGACATCCACAAGTCGAGTGGGCCTGACGGAATCCCCCAATTGTGCTGAGGACGTGTGCTCCAGAGTTGGCACCGGTTTTAACGCGTCTTTTCCGGTACTCCTACTCCCTAGGCGTAGTCCCAAAATCATGGAAGACGGCTTTCGTCCACACCCGATCCCTAAAAAAAGGGGACCGCTCAGACCCGTCCAACTACCGGCCTATCGCCATCACCTCCTTGTTCTCCAAAACAATGGAGTCCATTGTAAACTGCCAGCTCATGAGGTACCTTGAGGATCACCAGCTGATTAGTGACCGCCAATACGGTTTTCGCCGTGGTAGGTCAGCTGGTGATCTTCTGGTCTACCTAACTCACAGATGGGCGGAGGCAGTAGAGTCCAAGGGGGGAGGCATTGGCCGTTAGTTTGGACATTGCGAAGGCCTTCGATCGGGTTTGGCACAAAGCGCTTCTTTCGAAGCTCCCTTCCTATGGGCTTCCCGAGAAATTGTGCGATTGGATCACCAGTTTTCTTGCAGATCGGAGCATCAAGGTCGTTGTAGACGGTGCAAGCTCCGATTGCAAGCCTATTAATGCTGGTGTTCCACAGGGCTGCGTGCTATCGCCAACGCTGTTTCTTCTGCATATCAATGATATGTTCCAAACCCGTAGCATTCATTGCTATGCAGATGACAGCACTGGTGATGCTCTTTACACCGGCCGCGCCAATATTTCTCAAACAGACAAACTTGTGTCTGAAGTCGAGTCTTTGCTGAACGGAGTCTCGGATTGGGGGCGACTAAATCTAGTCCAGTTTAACCCCCAGAAGACACAAGTTTGCGCGTTAACCGCTAAAAAGAACCCCTTTCTCGTATCCCCTCAGTTTCAAGACACTCCCCTTGTTGCCTCAGTATTGGAATACTCGGCGTCGACATATCGAGTGACGTGCAGTTTCGTGGTCACTTGGAAGGGAAGGCCAAATTGGCCTCTAAAAAGCTTGGCGTGCTCAGCAGAGCCGGACAGTATTTCATGCCGGTACACCGCCTGCAACTTTACAAGGCGCAGGTTCGGCCGCTCATGGAATACTGTTTCCATCTCTGGGCTGGGGCTCCCCAGTACCAGCTCCTTCCACTTGACCGCATCCAGCGCAGAGCGGCTCGAATCGTCGACGACCGAGTGCTTTCCGATCGGCTCGATTCACTGGCGCTGCGAAGAGATGTTGCATCTCTTTGCGTATTTTATCGCATCTATCACGGGGAGTGCTCTGAGGAATTGTTCGGATTAATCCCAGCCGCCAAATTTCGTGAACGCACTACACGGCAAACGTCCCGATACCATCCACACCATCTGGATGCTTGGCGGTCCACCACTGTACGTTTCAAAAGGAGTTTTCTTCCGCGTACAACCTCTCTGTGGAATAATTTACCACCGGCGATTTTTCCGGACCGATACGACCTGGGGACCTTCAAGAAAAGAGCTTACTCCTTTCTAAAGGGCCGGCAACGCACCTGCAATTCCCCTGGTGTTGCGGTTGATCATGGGCGGCGGTAGTCACTTAACATCAGGTGAGCCACATGCTCGTTTGCCCCCTCTTCTATAAAAAAAAATAATACAAAGCGAAAATACCATAATTTACCTAAAGGTCGACTTGTATTATTATCGGTTCCTTTTAAATTTTAATAATAACCCTACGATGTCGAGAATTTTTGTACTGTACACGAGTACCGCGTTTTTTTAATAAAATTAGAATTAGCTCCCTTTCTGGTCAATGCATTTATGTTGCATCCTTGATACAACTATAATGAGGGCTACCAAGGTAAAAACTCTATGCTCTAGAAGCAATCGGTTTGAAAACAGAATTTCAAAATATTTTATGAATCAGATTTTCAGATTCAATTAAGCAGATATGGTTTCTTTTGTACTCTTTTCGTTTTACCCTAATAGAATATAAAATATATTAGGTACCAATATTTAAAATTTAACTTACACTAAGTTCTTTAGACAAAAATTAAACAGAAATAAAAATAAAACCGTCAAAAAACGAAACGTATAGATAAACTAGACGCGTGACGCCAAAATCCCGGCACATGGGAAAAAAGAAACATGAAACGTCAAACGTGATATAATTTTTTTAAAATAGTATAATTTTAATTTCCATGTACAATATTTTTGAGGGTCTGAATCCAGCCCTGGACTAATCTTGGTATCGTAACTAAACTAACTGTAAAATAAAACCCTAAAAATGCATTTATATAATAATTTAATTGTAACAAAATTAATATATGGTTGATTATACTTACAACGTTTATTTATTTTATTTTTAATCCCATTTTCCAGCCCATGGTCACGGGGGACATGGGTGCTGGAAAGCGCCCGAAACGTCGGGAATTAAAAATAAAAAGTAAAAATAAACGCGATAAAATCCGTAAAAGTAGTTTTAATCATGTGCAATGTTCGCGTAAATATAAGAAAACATTATAATATATGGTTATTTACCGATGATACGATATCACATGTTTTTTAAAATCTTTGTTTCGTAATTTTTGCATTCTTTTACCACGCAACTAGACATATTTATGACAGGCAAATATGTCCTGCGCGCGCACTACTGTCGACCGATTCGCGTTGGCCCTAAACTGTAATTTTAGGGCCAGCGCACTGGACCGTTTTAGTTGTTCGTTCGGCCCGGTCCTTACGCTAGTAATATATAAGTCAATGCTATTATGTGTGATCTGAGGAAAATCATTTAAGTTATCATTTTGCACATGTATTCTTGTAAAATCAGAAAGAAACCGTTAGAATCCTTTAACGTACCCAGAGTCGTTACAGAGCAGAATATAATTACAGCACACAAAAAAAAACATAAAATATTAAATACCACCGCAAGCTCAGAGCCAAACAAACGTAACAAATGATTTGATTGACGTTTGAGTTTTTGAACAAACGTTTGATACACAAACGTTTCCGCTTTGTGGCCTGTATCAAACATTGATAATCGATTATGAAATCGATTTATTAATCTATTTAGTCAATTTATTTTTACGACTTTTTTGAAACGTTGAAGTGTCTCACGAGGAAACCATTATTTAAATAATAAGTTTCTTAAACTTACCTAAAGAAGAAAACACTGAATCACTTTTTATTGTCTTTTTTTCTATTTTTGTATTAAATAACTCAATTGTATTAAATAAATCAATTAACTAACCTATTTCATCCGGCAGTATTGTTTAAAAATGAAAATAACGGAAGTCAGTATTATTTTTATGAAATATTTAATTTCTTTTGCCATGACAAAACTGCTTAATATTTCATTATTAACTACAAAAAAAAACTGTTAAAAATATTGATAAATATTTCACTTCAAATTCGCCCATCTCCTTTGTTATATTAAATATCCGAAAAGGGTGATGCCAATCTTGTGATTATGAAATTCAACATCTCCAAACCACAAGCATGCCTCTTTAACGCAAAAAGGTACCAGCTCACCATGGCATCTTTTTTCGAAATGAATTATTGGAATACATCGACCACTTTCAGTTGCTGGGGTGTAGATGCTGGGCACAGACAGGCCTCCTCACATTTTTGAGAGGGTTTATTCGTTATAACGAAATTACTAGTATTTTTTAATGTATACCTACCTGGTATATTAGTGCCATGTCTGTGTTGCGTGTGGTAACCAACACTTTCTGGAACGAAAGAGAATTTCGGCACTTTGAAATCGGGATTAGTTGCTTCATCATATGGCAGTATTGGTTTGAGTGGCAGGTTACTTCTCAAAGTCAGCAAAGGTGTCCCTAAAATTTTATATTATTTTTATTAAACCATATTTCACTACATTTCACAAGTATTGATAATAGATATAACAAATTTTATGGATTTTATCGCATATAATTTAAACATTTTTAGTCTGAGGGAAACGAGGTGTTTGACATCCTGATGTTTGAGTATGTGAACTTGTTTAGGGTGGTCCTGAATACTACATCAAAGTAAAAGTAAAATCAATAGGTTTTTATTTTTTATCTTTTTTCTTTAGATGAATGGATTTTTTACTGTAACATTATTTACCAATATATTGAACTGGTCTATCAATAGGTTCTTCAAGTCGGTCATGTAACCATTTATGTTTTTTTCTTATGTTTCTAACAGTATGCGGTACATCTAAACCACCAACAAACCAAAATGCTTCATGACGAGGTTCATAATCAGTCTGCAATAAAAACACATTAATTTTTATATCAACCATGGATAAAATTTAAACCAAGTTACTAAAAATGATCCAATACACAAGATATTAAAAGTCATTGGAAAGATTCGCACTAGTATTCATACTTTCAGGGTTCTGCTGTTATATATATATAATGGTCATGTCACACAAGAAACTAGGAACAATTTCTTTTGCCATAAGATTAGCTCTTTTAAAATAATTATCGCTTACTTAACATCTAATCTACAACATATTTTTAACTTATCTTAAAACTGAGTTCTTGAATATATGGTAAATGAACTGTAAACGTTGGTTATATTTTTTTTATAAAACAGGCCTTTTCGCCATAAATCCTTAAAAATCCATTACTGGACATGGCGCCACACATGGTAATAACCATGAAGGTTGTTCTCTAACCTTCATGGTAATAACATTGACTTAAAGGTTACAGTTGACAGGTGAATTTCAAGACTAAGGTATTTTTACATCTGAGGTTAACGAAATAGTTATGACACACTGTATCGTGTAATCGTATTCGTAAAACCGTAAAATCTTTATGGCATTTCCCATAGTCGCTATTAACGATACCCACGTTCCACGCAATGTAAATGGGTTGTATCTCTTACGTCGCCACAACACGATCATTGATAAAGGAATTAGAATAGATCATGCAGAGTATTACGTTATTTGTAAAGTTCTAAAGAACTGAATGAAAAAAGATTTGTGAAACATGAGACAGACCTACATGAGAAATTATAAATTACATATATATTTCGAATTATGGTTAATAGAGTTGTTACTTACTTTAGGGTAAATATGAATTATAAAAAAATATATTCTAGGATTAAAAACTAAATCGAGTCTTATGTTACTTTCAGGGTAAGTTGTCTTCCCCCCCGAGGCGGGGGGGCTTAGTAGCCGTGGCTTGGTCTCCCACGGTGAACAAAGAGGAACCCACGTGGCTGGCCCGAGGTGAAGGGCCGGCCTGAGGTGGCCACTCCGAGTGGGCTTGGGGAGCCCACTTCGGATGTGTGCTGGTGGACTGCAGCGAGTGGGGACTCCGCACCCTCTACCGCTGCAGCCGAGGTGGAGTCGCGGAGGAAGAGGAGTGTTGGTATGGCGATGCGCCACTCGCCCTATCCTCCGCGACTCAAACGGGGCCGCACCGTTGATGCGGTGGTGATGGGGCTGCGGGGGGAGAGGATTGTCGGTATTGCGAGGCGCCGCTCTCCCTATCCTCCGCAGCCGAATCTTGGTTGGCGGCGGAGCCTTAGACCAGATCCGCCGCTGGGGTCGGGAAGGCTAGTACTAAGTAGTAAGTGCTCGTTTTTCCTGGCCCCATGGCCTTCGCGCATCGGACGCGGGGGCGTCTGTTGCGCAGATGTAATTGGAGGCCGTGGAGGAAGGCGTGCCATGTGTTCTGGTGCGCCTTACTTGGAAAGGAGAACGAGGAGGAATATTCCTCTACCGAGGAGGTGCTGCCATGGGGCGGCAGTCGCTGGTAGGGCCGCGGAAGTGTGCGAAAGCGTTCCCGTAGCCCTGCCAATATGCGACGAAGGTGGAACACCATGGGCTTTTAGTCGGTGCGAGTCCGACATAACCCGTCCTTGCCCCCGCGAGGCGTATGCGTAGGCATTTCCCCATGTTAAAAAAAAAGGGTAAGTTGTCTTATGTTACATATTTAGTTTTTAACGACAACCAAACTGACAGTTCCCCTGACGGTAAGGTGGTACTTAAGTCTCTAAATACCTGCAGCTAACTTCAAACAAAGAAGACTAAGGATGAGTAGCCACTTCTAAGGACTAAGATGGAATGCCTCACAGTACATAATTATACTGGCTCTCTTTACCTTTCAGACTAATGTAATAATAATTAATGTGGTTACTATCTACATTCGAAAATTTGGACAGCGTGTCTACCGCTGCTTAACCAATTTTTAACCACAATGACGAAAGATAATAATTGGAGAATATAATAAAATCAATATTTTTTATAAAATAAAATTAGCAAATTTGTAAGCATGCACAACTGCAGCCGAATCCAACTGTCACTCCCGAAAACACTCTCTAACAAACTGTAACACAAAAATATGCACACTGCTAGAAAAAAAATAATCAGTGTATGGTATGTAACAAGATGGACTCCTAGGTAAACAAATAAAAAAAGAATGTAAAATTAAATTTTATAATCAGTTTCAAAAACGCAAGTTTCTGAGAACACGAAATTAAACTAAATGATCTCCATCATGTATTTAAATACCTACCTGAGAAGATAAAATATGTGAAGCTTTGTCTGAAAGTTTATTACAAATTATTCTGTTAATTTGTTTCACTATATTTTTTGTTATCATATCTTCTTTCTGCTGTTCTTCAGGTTTTTCTTGTTCTGTGACATTATTATGCCTGAAAAAAACATTTTGTAGTCAATAGTCAATCAAAGAGCAGCTGTATTAATTTTTTTCAATCACATATGCCGAAAATTTTCTAATCATCAATTTTTTATAGCTTCTTATACATAAGTATAATTGTCGCACTCCATTTTTTTAATAATAAATAGCAAGTAAATTTCTGAGAACCATAACAGCTCAGGGGCTCAGCGCTTGCTGTAAATTTCATTGTGTGAGCAACCCATATTCAGTCCCCGCTGGCACCAATGAAATTGTTAATTGCAATTTTAAGTGTTGATTTACCAAATACTCGGCGGTGAAGGAAAACATCGTGAGGAAACCTGCATATATGAGAAATAAGAAAAAAATATTTCAAAGACATGTGAAAGTTTGCCAACACGCATTGGGGCAGCACAGCGGACATTTCTTTGCGCTAAAATCCTCTTAGAAATGAGAGGAGGCCTGTGCCCATCAGTGGGATGTATATAGGCTGTAACTAAGTAAACTTCTAAAAAAATAAATAATTAAAAAATTCAAAAACCTGACTGCAAAAAAGACAATTTAAAAGTAACGTACTAAAAAGATCGAAACAAGATTGAGAATACAAAACAAAATTAAAATAAACTATAAACAAAGTAAACTCTACTTCGGTTTAACAAACTAGATAAGCTAAAAACCTAAGTAAAATAGCCTAAGTAAAATATTAAGTTTAGTAGCAGTAGTAGGCAGAACCCATTATCTTTCGGTTTGTAATTTGCAATGGGTCCCAGTGTGTTATCCTATGAGATCTGATCGCTATAAATGTTCCCTTTGTTTAAGAGACTTGTGGAATATTTAGAAATAATGGCAGAAGAACTGATGGTATGACTTTGGTTTCTTGGGAGAGAGTTAAAGCCTCATTATCGAATGCTACATGTCTAGACACTTTAGCAGCCTCTCATCTCAGAGGTACCTAGTTTAGCCGGGACAGTATCATAGGTGGCTAAACCAAGAAAGTGGCAAGTATGAGTCCCTGACATATGACCACATATTTGTGCCATTTGCTGTAGAGGCTATTGGTCCGTGCGGTGAAGTTCCTAAAGGATCATTTCTTGCTCAAAAGCTAATTATAGCCATTCAGCGAGGAAATGCAACCAGCATTCTCAGCACTATACTAGAAAAGCTTATTGTTACTCCCCATCAGCTGGAGAATGAACCATAGAAAGTTACCAGGACTGACAAGCAAACTCAGTTTAAAAATGCACAGCATGAAAATTCTATGTGAGATGTGGCAGTAACATTACAATCAGTTCTAACACAAGCTATAAGTTCATGCAATAGAGATCCAAAATGATTCTAAGATTGATGAGAAAATTCTGCAATTCTATGCTGGATGTAGAGCAATGGTAGCTCAGATGGTTAAAGAGCCGTGGTAGCTCAGATGGTTAATGCTCGCTGTAAATATAACAGAATGCGAGTAACTTGGGTTCAATCCCCGCCTGCACCAATGAAATTGTTAATTGCAATTTTAAGTGCTGATTTACCATGTGCTCGGCGGTGAAGGAAAACATCGTGAGGAAACCTGCATGTCTGAGGTATAAGAAAAAAAAATATTTCGAGACATGTGAAGCTCGCCAACACGCATTGGGGCAGCCTGGCAGACACTTTCTTGCCCTAAAACCCTCTCAAAAATGAGGGGAGGCCTGTAGTTTAGTTTAGTTTAGTTTGCAACGGGCTGTTTTCCGCAACTCCACGTCTCTGCGCGTATTTTGTGTGTGGGCAGGAATAATGTGATTATTCGAGCCATGAGATCTCCCCCGAAGAAGCTCAACAGTCCCTTGATGTTGCATGCAACTTCGGGGAGTGATCCCGGCGTGCCGAGATGTTTAGCCCTGTACGTAGCGACCTCCGGACATTTCAGTAGCACGTGGGCCGCCGTTTCTTCCTCCCCCATACATGCCCTGCACAGGGGACTATCTGTAACACCTATAGTAAATAAATGTTTGTTAAAGGTGCCATGTCCTGTGATAGCACTAGTTACTATCCTGATCTGCGGCTTGTTCAGTCTCATTAGAACTTTGGTTAAGCGACTGTTTATTACAGGTAGGGCCTCCCTAGCTTGTCTACAGTCTATTAGATTTTTCCAAAGCTGAGCGTGTTGATTAGTGAAGTGTCTACGTACCATTGAACGAACGTTACCAAAGGGGATTGGTATGATTGGTTCCGGCCCTATAGTGGCCAGAGCCGATCCTCTTCTGGCCAGTTCATCCGCTGCATCGTTGCCTCTGGATCCACTGTGTCCCTTTATCCATTGTAGAGTCACATTGTTGTTTTTACATACCTCATTTAATCGTTGATGGCATTCATATATTAGTCCCGAGTTCACCCCATTGCAACTCAGAGCTTGTAGTACCGCCCTACTGTCGGTCAGTATTCTGATGGGGAAGTCATTAACCTTCCTAGCATCTATTGCTATGGCCGCTTGAATGATACCCATACATTCCGCCTGAAAGACCGTGTTATAGGTACCCAGCGGTGTGCATATGTGAATATTGAGGTCTTCAGAGAAAGCTCCAGAACCTACACCTTCCTTTGTTTTAGAACCATCGGTGAAAATTCTAAGCTCTTTTGGGCTTAATCCTTCCGGCTGGCTGTTTTCATTTAATTGTATCTTGTATTTCTTATCGAAAACAAATTGTTTAGGAATCCTATCGTATTTGGCTTGTAGGATAGGAATTTCTGAGTAAATTCTATCAATTATGCCTGTATGAGGGACACTATTCTTACTCCAAAGATTTAGGGTCTTGAGTCTGATGGCAGCTAAAGTCGCTTCTTGTTGTATAAGTAGATGAAGCGGAGTTAGCTCCAGCATCGCTTCCAAGGCTGCTGTTGGCGTAGTTCTTATGCAGCCTGTGGCAGCCATACATGCCAGTCTCTGGTAGCGCTGAAGCTTCTTAATTGTGGTGGCTTCATTGGTCTTGGTCCACCATACCAGAGCGCCGTATGTGATCATGGGCCGGATTACAGTTTTGTAAAGCCACAGTATGATTTTTGGCGTCAGTCCCCATCTTTTGCCAATCATGTGATGTGCAATGCAGAACATTGCCAGAAAGTTATACTAGCTTTGTTGATTTTGTTTTCTATGTTTTTATTCCAGTTAAGTTTGCTGTCCAAGGTAAGACCTAAATATTTTACCTCAGAGGATAGCTGGAGTTTTGTGCTGAAAAGACTTGGAAGATGATAGTTATTCAGCATCCGTTTTTGTGTGAACATTACTAAAACCGTTTTATTTGGGTTGACGGTTAAGTCGTATTCCCTGCACCATCTCTCCACTATACGGAGAGCCGCTTGGGTCAGGTCGCACACTATGCTAGCTGTCTTTCCCGAGACCAGTATAGTCAGGTCATCAGCATAACCTACTGTATAAAAGTGATTAGTATTTAATTTGCTGATGAGTTCATTAATGACCATATTCCACAGGAGAGGTGAGAGGACCCCACCCTGCGGGCAACCTTTCTTAATTAGGATTGGTTGAGATTCACCAGCAATCTTTATTATTCGTGTACTGAGCATGCAAACTATCCAGTCGATCAGTGCCGATTCAACTTTATGTCTACTGAGTGCACCTTTTATGCTGGAGAAGTTTGTTCTGTCAAAAGCACCTTCTATATCTATGAAGGAACCTAGACATATTTCTTTGTTTTGGATGGCCCCTTCAATCTTAGTAATTACCTGATGAAGTGCCGATTCTGTTGATTTGCCTAGACTGTAGGCGTGTTGCTTGTCGTGTAGTGGTAAGTTCATTAGCGCCGACCCCCTTAATTCCCTCTCACACATCCTCTCCATCGTCTTTAGGAGAAAGGATGTGAGGCTAATGGGCCTGTAGGATTTAGGGTCAGTGTAATCGCTCTTACCTGGTTTGGGTATAAATGTGATTTTCACTTCCCTTCTTCCCTAGGAACATATTTTAGAGCCAGACAGGCTCTCATTATGGCAACAAGTCTGACTATTAGGGCTTTACCCCCCCACTGTAGAAGTGCCGGGAATATGCCGTCAGGTCCTGCCGCCTTATAGGGGAGGAAACTGTGAATGGCCCAATGGATTTTGTCCATCGTTACCACTCTCTGTGCTAAATTCCAGTCTTCTACTGTTGGTGTCAGTATGTCGTCATGCCGGTTTGCCTCCTGGGTTAAGCAGCAACCTGGGAAGTGCGTTTTAATTAGGATGCGTTGGGCTTCATCCGGCGATGTTGAGTAGCTACCGTCGGGTTTCTTTAGAGACATGGATCCCGACGTGTTCTGTTTAGCTAGAATATTCCTTATCCTATTTGCTTGTTTGCAGGTTTCTATGTTGCCACAGAATTTACGCCACCCAGTCGAGCGTCGATACCTGATACATTTTTTGTATTCAGACTTAGCTTTCTTATATAGTAGCCAGTCTTCATCCATTGAGGTATTCATGGCCCTGTTTAGGGCTTTTCTTACCTTCTTGCGTTTCCTATCGAGTTCTACACCCCACCACTGTTGCTTTACCTCGGCATGCCTTGGTGGAGTGATTTCTGGACATGATTCATGGTAGCTATCTATCATGGCCTTAGTAACAGCTGCTACCTGTTCTTCTAGGAGCGACTGATCTGCTATAGTATTTATCCCCTCAGAACCCGCGAGCGAAGACGTCAACTTATTTAGGTATTTTGTTTTATCCGTCTTGCGGGGATTTCTCCATGGTGGTGTAGAGGGGATATCGACCTGTAGTGCGAAGCAGATCCATCTATGGTCTGAGCATGAGGGGGGAGGCCTGTATCCAGCAGTGGGACGTATATAAGGTGTAACATTACTTTACTTTTTTTTTTAATGCTAGATGTCACAGTTATAAAAATCATTTGACTTAGTGGATAATAACTTTTTATTTAAATTATTATAACTTTATAACAGGTAGCATGGAATATTATGTGGAATATGCCACTCAAATATCAGACCCATATATTACAAGACCTGGTAAATCAAGGCAGTAAATTAGAGCAACTTGAGTTTTTATTACTGATCAGCAATTTGCCCGAGATGGTTAAGGACTTATTGTGACTTCTATTTACTGATAATTTCAAGTTGTATTACATAGTAGAAACATTAAAAGACTGTGAAAAGCTACAATAGATTGAAAACAGAGTAGTGGCATGGAGCAAGAATAGTCTTGACAGTTTAAGAACTCAAGTGTGTATCCATACACTAGAAAATACATACCCATTGTATGTAACTAGAAGGTGGAAAAGTGCCAATAGTTAGAGTTAAAAGAGTTAAAGATCTAGATAGTTAAATTGTAAATTATTGTTTAGGAATCACACTCTATATTAAAGCAAAAAAGTATTAAGAATCATATTTTTATTAAGAATAAAAAGGACTACAAGCTTTGTATGTTGCGTGCCTTGTAGCATGGTGCGAATAAGAGCTCACACATATGAAGTTTCATATTTTTTTAGACAAACTATCATACAGATATTGTTGTACTTTATGAATGGGTACTGCCCACTTACGATAGGTGATGTGCCACGCTAAACTATGCCATGCCATGACGAACAACCTCAGGCTATCAAAAATTAGTTTGGAAATAAATCGAATATATAAAATCTGTAAAAGTAGTTTTAATCAATTTTAAATCAATGTGTAGTGTAGATTTATAAATCAAATTCTCGATCATTTTTACCTTTCATCCCGATACTTGGCCCATTGTACCTGGTAGCACTGATACACATATAGCGAAAAGTGCTAACACTCATACTAGCAAAACTGAATAAGCATAGTGAAAATTATGAATGCAGCCATTTTATTTTTTAAAGGTCAATATGAATGTTGCAATCAACATTAAATAGAAGATGATATTTATTTTATAATTAATACATAGTATAATCTATACATTTAAGTGTCTGCTTGTAATATCAAAATTCTAGCCTTTTACTAAATGCATATGAAAACAAAAAGTTCCGGCTTACAGCTGGCACTGGCAGATAATTGATGTTATATGGAGTAACACAGGCTACTTTTATTTTAGAAAAAGAACAAGGATGCCGTGCAAAAAAATTTAAATGGAAATCCAATTGTAACAAATACCACGCGGGCAAAGTCACGGGAACAGCGATTATGTTACTATTATGTCATAATTTGTATTAAACTTTAATTTGATTTTTCATGCATAGTAGTTTATAAAGAAATATGTGTTTCAGTTTTAATTTTTATATCGATAGTTAACTGCTAATTTTTGCTTTGCTTTGTGTATTGTTAATCACTTTTTTTAAATCAATTTAACATTGCTCCATTTCTAGACACGCCAAACTGTAAGCTGTCACCTGCACCATGCTATAACGCAAAGACTATAAACTGTTGTGTTCAATAAATTCTATAAGGATAGCTATCTCAATAAATAAATACTGATCTGCTTTAAGTTTATTTTGCCCTACATAGTGAAAAAATAAACTTATTTTAATTTATTACCTCACATTTGGTGCCTAAAAAAAGAAAAGACTTGGACAATTTCATTGGACATTTATCTATGTTTTATATTGAAACCTTTAAACTGTCAATGTTAATTTTATCAAAAATGTATGGCATACATAGTGCACATATTATCAAGTATAATACTAGCACAAGTAGATTATGTTGCAGAGTATATTTATGTATTACATAAATGTTTGTAGCTTTGGGGTAGTCGGTGGTTCCATTGCAACTTAGCATATTGTTGCTAATATATAGTAGTTTCCTGTACCTCTCCCCTTAATTATCTATTAGTGTTTCAGACGGTGAAACACAACCTTTTTATTCTACCAGTTATTACATTGAGTGTGGTATATACTGTTATATATAATTAGTATAATATATAAGAAGTAATTATATAAATATACTATTATAATAAAGTTTTTAATAATAATCAGATATTTTATTTATTACTGTATACTCTTTAACTTAACTAAATGTATAATTAGGTGGTGTTATTGCAAAACAGCAATCTTTTCTATGTAAACCTTGGTTAAACTATAGTATGTTTCTAGGCCAGGCAGAAAAAAGTACATTGACCTCAAGTATTATGTTAGCATCGAAACAAAACGACAGTTATTGCTTCCATATATTTCTTTATAGATTACATATTGTAATGTGCTAAGCGTATCTCATGGTAAGGGGTAGGGTGAAGGAAGTAGTCATTCAGAGATAATAAACCTGTTTCGACGCAATTTGCAATAGGTCTCACGCTGCTTTGGGATGCTCTTGCATGTAGATATTTTGAGATTTAAAATTTTCAGTTATAGTAGTTGTTTTAATTTTTATTAAGTTTGTTTTGTTAGTTGTACTATTACTAAAGTTTGTTTGTTTGTTGTTTTGTACCAAAGTTTTTGTTATTGTTTTGTGACGTTTTGCATATTATCACTAGTATGAAATCGGATCTCCAGACATGAAAATCTCATAGACTTTACGTCACCACGGAAGAAGCGGAGTGCCGCATATTGAACCGAAAAAATAATGATTGTAAACATCTATAAATATGTAAAAGAAATGTGGTCTAGTGATGTATATCCATCCAAAACGGATATGAAAAAGAAGACTGACGATATTTTAGGTTATAATCAATGTGACGGACTCTTCTACGTCTTCATCATCATAAAATGATTCTGAAATAGATACAGATGAATAGTTTGTCAAGTGTCTCTGACAATCTATTATGAGAAGTTTTATGCATGCTTCAAGGTTGGCTGCTTAAGAATGCTTAGCATTAAAAGTTCATCTTTTTACCTGACTGCCAAGAAGTGGTTATGTTTTATACAACTACCTACCTACCTACTTATTAAAGTACTTACCTACTATTAACGTAGAAATGAAAATTGTAATAACTCATGATTTATAAATAATAAACTTAAATTAATATTAATTTGCTTTTTAATTCATTTAGGTGCAGGACAATCTTCTTTCTTTATTATATAATAATAGACATAGGGCCTGTAAAGAACTTTGCACTCGGCATCTTTATATATCACTCTCATGATGTATGTAATGATAAAAGAATAAAAAAATGAACCTAAAGAAAAAAAGATTGTCTACCCCAATGATATTGTCGAAGGTCAATGTACTTTTTTCCGCCTGCCCTAGAAACGTACTATAGCATAATCTTCAGTATAAATAAATATTAGAAGTGAGTTATTATGTAGTTATGGCATAAATTAATACAGAAATTTCATGTGATAATGGTCAGCAATATTGCAAATATATATCAGCTCTGCACCTACAATCCACCTGTACAGCCTGGTAAGAGCAAATGTTCTAAGTAATTCTTCTCAACTTGTGCATTCTATAAAGGCTAATGTCTATCAGTAGACTAGGAAAAGCAGTAGATGTGATGTGATGATGTGAATTTAAAAGATTTAGTTCTGAAATTAGGAACTCACTTAACATATTCCGATTCCAAAATTATTATGTCCTCAATTAGAGACTTAGTTTGTTTTACAACCAAATCTGCAAGTGATGCTGTTTCAGAATATACGTCTGGGAGAGCACTTGATGGTATAAAATGTGTCCTTGTGTAGCACTTCACTAGAGGTAATGCATTGTAAGGTACTTTATCTTCATTCAACATAACGCACTTCCATCCGTAATATCGGGGCATATTTAGAGCAATTTGTTTTTCTTCAACAGTGTTTAACTTTCGGATTTTTTCATAAACGCTTTGTCTTTCTCGTAGTTTTCTTCCTTGTAGTGACATATCCAATATTGGAGGATATTCGGGTGTATCAGTATATTCATTTTCGTCAGTAAGTAGTGCATGAGAATATCTTCTTTTAGTCCACAACTTAAATTTTTGAAGGTTTCTGTTAAATTTAATTAAATGCATATTGGACAAACACCTTTATTACCCTCTAACCATATCAGTATTCAGTTAGGTATAACCTAAAAATATTTTGTTTCATAACAATATAACCACAAACCAACAAACTATTAAAGAGTACTGAAGACAGTGTTGCCAGATTTTTTTCACCTTCCCCCCTAGATTTTTCCAAAAAACCCTTAGTTTCCCTATGTAGGGGGATAAAAAACCCTCTTAATTTTTATTCGGTCAAGTTTCGTGTGAATCAGATTTATTAAAAATAACTACTACATACAAGCTACGTAATTAGACCATTCAACTCAATGGACGAGTAATGCGCCTAATGCTATGAACAAAAAAGTCTGTCACTTTTAGTGCGGGGGAAAAAACAATACATAGACAGTACTGCACACCTACTAAATAAAATTTTGTGTCACTTTTGTGTAACACACACACTTACACACAAATCTAAATCTCCAACACTATTACATTTTATGCACACATGTAGGTTAAATACATCAATATGGAAAAAGTTATGAGTATAAGACGAACAAATTAATTGCGATACTACCATATCGAAATTTTATATCGATAATAAATTGTCGGCATTGTCTGTTTTGAAAAAGAATTCGAAAGTTGGTAAGACTAGTGAATAACCTTCAGAAAAACCTCTAGATTAATTACGTGATATTAAAACCTCTAAAAAACCTCAACGTTCTCCAAAAATCCCTAGATTGAGGAAAAACCTCTAGATCTGGCAACACTGACTGAAGAGTATAATAACATTAACAAATATTGGATACGTTTGGCAGAAAAAAGCGCTAGCAAGCGCTTACAAGCGCTGAAATAGTTTTCGGCCAGGACACGATTGCTACTTCAGTAGCGCTGACACAATCCGCCATTTTGCTTATTTCATTGTTTGTTTTGAAGTAAAGTTTATAAGTTTTTTTTTGTGCAATATTAGTTTTAAGTAATATAATGACATGAATAGACATATAGATGTCATTAAAAATTCATGATTGGTAAGTTTTTAATATGAATACTTTACAAATATATATTTAAATTAGGTTAGGTTCCACGGTTAAAACTGACTTCGTGTCCTAGAGGAAAATAGCTACTTACGATTTGACAGCGCTTACCGCTTACGATCGCCATTTTGCTTACAAGCGCTTGCTAGCGCTTTTTTCTGCCGAACGCACCCATAGGCAAAGCATGCATGTCGATCTGAAATTGATTAATCGAAGAATCGATTTCTTGTGCAAAAAGATTAATTTTTAATCGATATATCGTACTCAGTAACACACAATCGTCATCACGTGAGCACAACATCCAATTGTGCGTCGCCCTACCAAACGGTTGCAAGGGTTGCAACAATACTCTGCTATACCCTTTCTCCCTGTTATACCATTTTTTATTAAAATATAAACAAAGTATTGCTTTTTTGATATATGTCTAGACTTGATTTTCCCCGCATCAGAGTATTGTTGCCATTTCCTCTCAAATTGTACTCTGAAACATCTATGCTGACACTTGTTATTTCTATTCCGTACCCACCATGAAATCTTATGTGCTCCCCATAATATGACCGTGCTTATTGTATCTGATAGGTTCCTAAAGCAAAAACAATTAATTCGTTCATTTGCATTCTGGGAAATGTGATTAGGCTATCCCTACGAGTATCAGCCGTTATACTAAAAAGCTAGAAGATCGTCTCATATTTGTACTATCAACGAATAGGGACAAATTATTTGGTAAAGACATCCTGTATCTAATAATAATGGAGTAGAAAGAGCAGTGGAGATTCCGAACGAATTGCGAGTTAATGATTCATCTCCTAGGAGGTCTTCGGGTTCAAGGAGACCCTCTTTTCCCGGGCGTCATCGCGGAAGGACACGGCTCCCCCCGGTATTGGGTGCTGCCACGCAGCTTGTTGGTTGGAGTGTTGCGCACTTCACGCCATCAGACTAGGTGTCGGGAATACTCACTCGTCCCCAGCGGCTCCCTCGCCAGGCGGTGAGAGAAGGATTTCTCGTGGGAGTGGCCACCCATCAGGTGGGCGTGCATGTAAGGGGGTCAAATTTTGAAGGTGAAGGGGTGGCCCGTTGTCTGCGCGGTCGAACAACCGTCTCGCAGTATGGGCCACAAATTCATGTACAGTTTGAATTTTAAGGTCCCTGGCTATGAGATCATCTCTCACATAGCGGCCTGCTCCAATGATCGTCCGGAGCGCTAGATTCTGCTGGGCTTGCAGCCTCTTGCGCTGTGTGGTCGATGTTAGCGCGTACCAGGCTGGCGCTGCGTAAGTCAGCCGTGAGCGAACGTAGGTCTTGTAAACAGATGTTTTTGTTTTTAACGGGAGTGTGGATGCCAGTATTGGGTATAATTTCGCTCGTGCGACTCTGGCCTGGACCACTACGTGGTTGACCATAGGGGTCATTCGCAACGATCGATCAATCTGGCATCCTAGGTAGGTGACGGTACCTTTCCAACCTACGTCCTGCCCACGGAGTCGCAAGGTTGGTAGGGTGCGTCTCAGCCTGGTCGCGAAGGCGGCGGTCTTCCCGACGTTGACCGCCATCCTCCATCTGTCCAGCCAATCAGGCAACAACTGCAGTCTCTGCAGCTTCTTTGCTGCCAGTTCTACCCGACGAGATGACGTGAAGTACGCACTGTCGTCTGCATATAACGCGAGCACAACATCGTCTTCCCACTCCTCCAGGCGACCTTGGATTGTGGGGATGTCATTGGTGTACACCGCGTACAGGTGGGGTGATAGGCAGCTGCCCTGCGGCACTCCCGCTTCAATCGGTCGTGCTACAGAGACAGCCTCCTCAATGTTGACATATAAGCTCCACCCCTCCAGGAACGACGCTATTAACCACACAAGCAATGGCGGCAAGGTGGAGTTATTTATTAATTTGTGGAGTAGCCCTTCATGCCACACTCTGTCGAAGGTCTTCTCCATGTCCAAGAAGACAGATGCGGCCGCGGTTGTGCTCGGCCGCAAGATAGTGCAGCACGCGGACTAGTTGGGCTGTGGAGGAATGTGCTCTGCGGAAGACAAATTGTTCCTCCCGCAGAGCAATATGCGGAAGTAATCTGGTGAGTGTAATTTTTTCGAAGAGTTTTGCTATGTGCGGCAATAGCGTTATGGGGCGTTAGCTAGCAGGGTACCTCCTGTTCTTACCCGGAATTGGTGGCACGACAATCTTGCACAGTTTCCAGTTTGTTGGGAAGTGGCCAGTTCTTAACACGCCGTTGAAAAGTCTGGCCACCTCCACAACTCCCCTTCTTTAAGGCCATGGTGGTAATGCCGTCGCACCCGGTGCTTTGCGGTTAGGTAGGTGTATGATGGCGCGCCTTACCTCCGCTGGCGAGATAAAGTCCTCGCCTCGCAGTGGTGGTGCCGGGTGTGACAGGTATTCCTGTACGCGGTTTTCTACACTCTCGGTGTGCTCCGCGTACCCCTCTGCATTGGGGTTTGGTGTGAATTGTATTTGGAGGTGCTGTGCCATCATTTCCGCACTCTGCTGGGCGTCATAGATTCTTTTTCCCGTGTTGTCCACAAGTGGGCAAACAGGAGGTGGTGTTCTAGTGAGCTGCCGGTTGAGGAGTTGCAGGGAGATGGGTGTCTCCGAGGCTTCGTTGACTCGCCTCTCCCATGCCTCTCCCCTGTGCGCTCTGATCGCCACCGACAGCGGTTCTGTTACTCAGTTGAGTTGTGTTTGATTTGTGGGCACGTGTTTGTGCCCACAGCTTTATCAACTTCCGCTTCTTGCTAAGTTGCAGTTTTAGTTTGTGAGGGGTTGCTCCCCTCGGCGCCCCGTGGAGACAGGGTGTGAGGAGAGTTCCAGTTGTTTATTGAGTGTGGTGTGCAGAAGCAATGCCGCTGTCTCCACAACTTCTTGGGTGGTCATGGAGGCGCCGACTCGGAGGTCCTCCAGCGCTTTGCGGAAGCGTGCCTAGTTCGTCCGCATTTTGGGACCCCTGGGCACTACGGCGTCCGCATCGGTGCCTATAGTGAACAACACGGGGACGTGCTGCGTGTCCAGATCATACAGCACCTCTAGCCGTATTCTGAACGGTATTTGATGGCACAACAAAAGCCGTTCACAGTTGATGATTGTGATTGTGATCGTGACAGTTGATGAGTGGGATTAGAGGGATGTGGGTGGGCTCATCTGGACCCAGTATCTCATATCCCCACTCTTCAGCGTGTTCGAAGAGTTTCTTTTACCAGGAGGTGTGATTATGGCAGAGCCCCAAGCAGGATGTTTTGCGTTGAGGTCTCCGGCGATAATTGCAGGTGTTGTTGCATTAAATATAGTACTTAAATCCTGGGAGGCTAACGAGGTACCGCGAGGTTGGTAGGCGGCAAAGAACCTCATATCCGTGGTTCCCACCGTATATGTTACCAGTTCCAGTCGTATATGGTGTCAACTTCCTCGTGCATGACGTCCCTCCTCACAAGGGCCGCAGTACCCCTGTACGCGACACCTTCTGGGGAGATCTCGTCGTGGCGATACATGAAGAAGTTGGGGAGCTTCAGTTTTGCAGAGGGGTGCAGTTTAGTTTCTCCCAGCTGCACACCCTGGACTTTGTACTGCTTGAACAACGTGCGCAGTTCGGCGACCTTCCCTTTGATGCCGCCGGTGTTCCAATATACTATTTTAGTTACCTTGCCCTCTGCTGATGTTCGACAGTTGGGCTAAGGTAGTGAGGGTTGGTACCTCTGGTCATTGCTGTTCAGACCCCTCCCAGGAATTTGATAACCACTCCCATCAGCTGTGGGAGGGCCTCTTCTATGGTGGATGGTGAAGATTTACGGATAATTTAAAATAGCATCTTCGGATTCTACGGAAATTTTTATACCAAATACCAATCTACGGATTTGGAAAAATTCGAGCTGGAAAAACTCGTGTTAACCACATAGACCAAATATTTTTTATTTAGATTTTTTGTCTTGGATGCTTGTTTTTTAAGCTATGTCTTCATTTCATACATGCGTAATATCCTCTTAGTAGTCT